CCAAATAGGCAACTCCGGAGCAAGTGGAGTGCACCAACATCTCCGCTGAGCTGATAGCCTACTCGTAGGAATGTCAACCTATCAATAGGGACCTGCGGGCATGAAACACAGCGTACCCAGGCAAAAGGGACGTCAGTACAAATAAAGTACCGAGTATGTAAGGCAGGAAAGTATAAACAAGAATAGTAATATAAAGAGAGATAGAAGAGATACAACCTGTAACATCTGTGTGCCTCTGGGGGCTACTGACATGAAATGCATAATACATATATATGCATAAACTTTTAAAAACATACGCCTCTGTAGGCATTATCATCATCATCATCATATCGTACCCGGCCTCAAAGAGGACTCAGTAAAAACGTACCCGACCATCATAAGGCTCGGTAGAATCGTACCCGGCCACGTGGAGCTCGATAAATCCAACTGATCAATGGTTGCACAATAGGTGTCGTACCCGGCCTACTATAGCGCAGCTCGGTAGAGTAAAATAGATACTATATATAATGCATGCTAGACTCATGGAATCACGTTCTAAACCTTTTGGAGTGACTTAAGGTCGTTGCACCTTCGATTAACATTATGGACATCATACCATCAATATGAGCTTCTATAGGATTCAAGGATCATACATACTTGCTTAAAATAACTTTATAAGGATAGAACAACATGGGCAACCTTAGTTTCTAGGAGTAGATCCGTTATGAAATAGCGTATTCATTTCACTTTAGATCATGCCAAAAGAAATAAGGAAGTGCTTTAACATACCTTAATCATGGCAAGTCCTTAATACCTCCCAAGCTACTCTTCAAACAACTCAACTCAATCTACCATTGCATAAGCAGATTCAAAATCAGTGTTGAATAAAGGCTAAGTCTGCAACTTAAACTTGTAGCTCGTTTATATAAATTCGGGCAGCATCTCCCCTATAACAAGAGCCTCCTCCAATATCATATATCAACAACAATTACTAGAGAAATCCAGAAATACATAATTATCAATAACAAGACACCATAAAACAACAACAACAACAAGTCATAACTATTTTACGACGAGTGACAAGCTCCAATTAGAATCTGTATACCCCATATCATCCCTTATAGACTTTTTACTTTAACTTAATAGTATCATTAACATGATAATGAAGTCATTCATCAATAATTCTAGCCTTATACCATATATCCATAATAAAGAAAATGATCCACAACTCCAATTATTCTTAATTAGCACCTTTATTCACTAGTTCATGTCTAGTTCATCCATTTAATTTAACCAATGCCAAGATAACCTTAAGAACCTGTAGGAACACAATATAATTACCTCATACAGTAGATGCAAGTCGAAATCCATATTATATTTAGCTTACAACAACCCAATACACCTCAATCAATTCATACCAAAAACGACGACTATATTAGTGTCCAACACCCCGAAAATATTACAAAGAATGACTAATCCATCATTTTGCCATTACGTGGTGTTTCTCCATACCATTTATCCTCCAAAAACTCCATTAAATAGAAGCAACATATACAGCCCAAAAGCTACACGAAACAGCCCAAAAACAGCCCGAAACAAGTCGAATAATTCGAACTCACGGCTTCCGATAACCGTCCCGTGAGTTCTAGCTATTACGAAATGTATTTATCAACCTTCCTTCATATTTAAAAGCTTAAATACAGAAATAAGGCATTTTCTTAAATATTAAATATCTTCCAAAACTCAAACTACAAAGAAAAAGAGAGACAATATAGCGATACTTACGTCGTAGAGATCGTTTTAATGTTATCGCTACTTGATTTCGTGCCCCGGATGATAATCTTGTTGGAAACCCTTATGGAGAGCTTGAGGGGAAGGTTAGGGGTGTTATTTGGTCGTGCTCTCTAGAAAAATGGGGAAAGAGACGAGATAAGGGATGTAAATATCCCATTTTGTTGAAAAGTCAAAAAGGTGCTACTTGGCACTATCTCATTGGCCCTTTTTCAAACACTTATATCTTTTTATCCGGATGTCGTATGAATGAACGGTTAAGAGCGTTGGAAATTACATTCCAAGACCTTCAATTTGGTATATAATATGTCCCAAAAAAATCTCATATAGTACACAAAATGTATTACTCAAAAAGCTTCATTACAAGGCAAATCCTTAATCGGTTTTTCCCCAACTTAAATCCGATTTTTCTCAAACTTTATACTTCATATCCAAACATCTTATATAGTCATATCATGGCTTTAAACTTATTTAAATCATGATTAAAAACTAGAAGTCCATAATTATGTAATTGAAGGGTTTTGATTCTCTTCAACTCATTTAAATTGAAGTCTATTCAAAAGAATCTTAGGACTCCGCCAATTAACATCAGTTGTTTAAAATGGCTTTGAAAATTGACAGTAATTAATTTTCTTGAACTATTCAAGGAGCAGAGAACGAGATTATAAGGAGCGCACCCAATTGAAGATGAACAATATGTGGAGCATATGTTTACCATCTTTTGCATTGTTTTTCGGGGAAAATGATGTATACTTTACTTTATCTTCCCTCTTTACTTTGTTACATTATCAGACTATTTGTGCATATATAAGGATGCATTAAGGATGCTCTATCTATTTTTAAAATATGTCGCGAATCTTCTAACCTCTCTGTGATCTTAGGCGAGACCATGCATCCTTTCATATAAAGGGGACACGTAATGTCTGACACGGTAGAGGAAATCTATATAGAAGAAGCAATCTCCGCTTATGGGAAATATTGGCAGATACAAATTCTTCATGTTTGTCGGTGGTTAATTCCATGTGTCTCTGTATTAAAAAAAAATTCCGTTAGTTTTTGGCAGTGTACGACTACAAGTCTCCCAACTTGGGAATTTGGATGAAACTGTTTACTCTTCTTTTTCCATTCCATTTGGATATTATCGTGTTTGTCTAGAAAGCGTGATTAGTGGCATGTATGATTGAGGTCAAGCACAGGGATTGGGGCGAAACTTTGTATCCTCTCCTTCTTCCTTTCCATTTAGCTTTCACAGTATTTTTCTTGAGAGTCTGATTTACGTTTAAGAGAAAAAGACTTAAAAATGAAAAACTGTGACAATGAAATTACTTTGTTTGATTGTTTACAAGAAAGAATCACCAGTTAAGAATCATCATCCTCTTTACCTTCTATTCTTCGAGCCAAAAATTCAAATAGTAACTAATTATAGCAAAGTTGGATAAAGAAAGAAAATAGACGAAGTGGAAGGGAAAAAGAAAGAAGTAGACAGAGTGCCAGGAGGATGTGAGAGGTAGTGGGTGGAAAAGGATTCAGAGAGGTTCCAAAGATAACAGATGATTATACTTAAAAGTGTAGAGCCGTAGGTTTTTTACGATTGTCAGAAGCAATATATATAAGCCTTAATAGAAAGGTTGCAAAATACATTATTCAATCAGTTTCATACAACATCTCACCACCATCAAATAGCATATCATCTCATTGGCTTTGCTATGTACATGTTTTTGTTCTCATCTCTGTCTGTCAACACTTTGTTCTAATTTATATTCTAGCTGCATTAGTTAGAATATACCAACTCATTTAGTATGACTTTTCTTAGTTGAATGTTCCAATCTAATTTTCCTCGTGAGGCTATATAATCAAGACTTTTTTTTTACATTTTAGATTGAAAAGGAACTACTGAATTTGGATAGTGCATTGGGTATAATCAATTTCTCAACAAGCATCAATTTACTTTTCAGTTCTATCCCTTATTTTTCCATGGTCTGGATATGGACGAATTCATTGGTCGAGTGACTATTAAAGATAAATGTTCAAATCCTTTACCTAATCGGCATAGTTAAGAAGTAGGTTATATACAGTTATATCTCTTTGAATTTTCAAGATTCTGGCCTAATAACTAAAGACTCTATTGCTATTGGGAATTTGGTTATATCTGTTAGCTATTTTGGGGACTTTGTTTATATTGGAGTTTGGTTATATATAGTAGAATTACTTTAAGATACTTCGAAGTGTTGCTGCTAGAAGAGGAGTACACGGTGGTCCTCTTATTAATGCTGGAGATTGTCCCGGACAATCAAGCTTAGTTTTGAATCTATTAAAAATAATTTTATTTCTGAGACTTGAGACTGAATAAGGTTGCTTGCGTTTTTTATCCTAGCATAATTTTACTACTTTAATCTGGTGGTTATACACTAAAGAAAGTTTATCAATCCGATTGATTCGTTAAATAGGTGGGTGTTGCAGACTTTGGCCGGCTGAATTTTGAGGCTCTATTAAGAAGACCGCAACCAATCAAGTGGGCACAGCTGAAGCAAAGAAAATAGTGGCCGAAGCCGAGAATGACGAGAAACCGGCACCATGAAAGTTGTTGTTCCTCCTTAGGAAATAGGAATAGTAAAGCCATATTGGTCAAAGTGGAAGAACACCAGCAACAGAAATATTTGATATGACAGTTGAAGACAATTTTTACCCTTCATTGTTCATATGTAAAAATTTTCTTATCACCATCTTCTTTTCCCTTTTCCTATTTCAATTTTTACTCTTCATTATTGTTCTCTCTTTCTTCCCTCCCTATCCCTTTTTAAGTTTGTGCATAAATTCTCAAACCGTTATTTCCTTTTGATTCCTTAGAGCTTTTTCATCAATATAGTACTTTTTAAAAATCCACTTCTAAAAATTGTATTTCAATATTTTTGTTTCTTAAATCGTATAATAATATGGAGGTTTATTTAGATGATAATAGAACTTAAACTTAATGCATAAAAATTTTAAACTTTTTTACTTCACCAGTTGTAATAATTGTAATAGTTTGTGGTAAAAACATGAAAAAAATGTTTGATTAGTAGAGATTGATCGAGTTCTTTTATGTCCTTAATTATTTAATCATTTTCTGTTTTACTTTACGATCGCGCGAAGCGCGTGCAAAATTACTAGTTTAATAGTATATGAAGTGCTTCATATTTATTAACCTTAAATAGTGGGTTGTATGATCACTTTCTCATTAAGTGTTACTGAAATGCGTCAATCTCTTTGTTCTTCCATATTTATATCATATGTTAAGATCTACTAAGTTGTTATATCTTTTTCGAATGTGAAGTGATTATTATTATTATTTAAGTATCATATTGATTTTTATGTTTAGTTACTAAATTCGGTTAACCTTAAAAATGTACATCAATGAAACATTATTGTCACACGATTAAAAAATAACTATTATGTGTTACTAAGAAAATTCTCTCATAAGAATATTTTAATAGATAATATGTTTGTCAATTTTTTATATTTTTACTAAACATATATTTACTTATAAAAAATTTAATAAAGTAAAATTGAAATAATATTTAAGTAACGAAAAATCCGACAAAACCGAACTAATTCAAACCGATATAGTTAGTTTGGTTTGGTTTTGATAAAAACCGAACCAACCCGATCTATATACGTCCCTATTTAAAAAGTTTCCCAATAAACCTTTTCGATAGTACCATGAGAAAAAGTATCAGAAAAGTGAGGACAAAGAATAATTTTCCTCTCTAAAATATTAAGTAGACACGTACAAATATACAATTACCGCACATATCAAATTGGGTAGCAAGGATAGGTAGAATGAGGAGATAGAATATTACTCTCTCCGGTCTATAATAAGTGATTTTTTGGCCGGACACATTTCTTAATAAAATACGAATTACTAGAGATGTAAAAAAATATTTATTTTGGATCAAAATAAAATGGCAAAAAAATCACTTATTATGGACCGAAGGGAGTATGTCATGTGTAGAAGTTTGAGATTGGCTTCAAAGTTTTTTAAAGGAATTTTTACCTCATGTAGCAAAGGTTGATACCTTATTTATTTTAAATAAATATCCTTTTAAAAAATTATATTTCATAGCTACCTTTTGATTCTTATAGCCAAATATCTATTTATGGTCACCTTCTACCCTTAAGCCATAAAATACCCTTTGTATTATTTTTCTCTCTCATTATTTCAGATTTTTCTCCACCCTCTTTTTTTCTCTCAACGTCAGTATTTCTCCATAAATACAATCATGATTCTCCACTGATTTATCTCTTTTGTCGAACGAAATTTTCGTTGCCAGTGGAGGTTTAAAATATGCTATTCGACACCAATATGCCTATTATTGTACTGTTATCGTCTCAATAACATGTAAATACGATAGTCAGAAAGTACGAATACCAATTTTGCCTGCTCTACTTTTTATGAGTTGCTGACTGGGAATCTGGGATTCACCCTTATAGAAGCTCGATGTTATTATGTCGGCCTAACAATGTCCAAATTAAGAGTGAGGTACGGTTACTATTTAGGAATTTCTCAATATTTTATGTTTCGTATTAATGTCGAAATCTGACATAGGGTAAATTGGGGCTGACAATAGAGGTTCGAAATCTGTTATCGATGAGACGATATTAGGGTTATTCTTGAATAAAGACGACGGAGTTTCCGGCTGAGCAACTTGAATAGTCTATTACTTTTTTTTCGTTGTATTTCAATGTATCTCGTTGTATTCTATGTATTTCATTGTCTTTTTTTTTCCATAGTATTTCAATATATCTCACTGTATTCCATGTATTTCATTGTAGTCATTGTCTCGCTATATTCCATGAATGTATTCGTATGTCTTTTTAAATAATATAATTTATGTATTTATGTATTCAAATTTATAATTGAGTTTGTTGAGTTATATTAGGAGTCTATTTGTGTTAATTGATTCAATTTCCGTTTAAAAATAGCTGAATAGACCATGATTTACGCTATTTACATTACTGTATTCACAAATACATATCGTGAATACAGTCGAATACTCCCCTGTTTCACGCCGAGTTTTGCTATTGTATTCATGAATAAAGTAGCTTAAATACATCGAATATACTC